GAAAATTGTGATGTGACATTTTCTGAGAGCTTTTTACTGTAGAAACCTAAAACTGAAAACACGAATCGGTGAAATGAACGAGGCAAAAGTAACATCTCAACTCGAATTAAAAACTCGAATCAACGAATTAAACGGGTCAGATAACAAGTCTTGACCTTTTGAGATAAAAGTTTCGAGGATTTGAGACCTAATTTCAAGTCTCTTCCTCCTTTATTGTCCCATGATTGAGCATTTGCGTTGGTTTTAAAGTCACACTCCACTTGCATTTTTTTTTATTCCTAATTGGTAAATTCTCGATGCTTCTTACAATGCAACGTGAGTTTGAGATAGAGTGTTAGAGTTATTAAGATTTACATCAAAATGTACATATGTTTACATTACGTTAAAATTATTTAAAATATTAAGTTGAATAGTATTTTTCTGTCATTACAATAATAAGAAACCATAGAATTAAAATTTGTTATTTAACTGTAACTAAGCATCCGACTTCACCATAAAATACACAATCGTTAATCAAATCCCCTTATCCTGAATATTATATATATAGACGTGTTTTCAATGATTAAGTTTTAATTGATTATTACTCATTAAATATAAAAATTTGATGTCGTGATATGATAAGAATTCAATCTCATTAACTGTCAAATTTTTTTTTAGTCAACTATATAATTTATTATAACCATCAGATTAAATATTTTACGACTAATGGATAAATATTAAAATAATTATTAAAATCACACCCATATACGTGCGTGTGTTATAGCTGTTTCAAGTAATAGCTGGATCATGAAGTTTGGCGGACTACGGCCTCTACAGCCTACACGTTACTTGGAGCATATGTATAATCTTACCCAATAATAATACACCACGAGAGAATTAACTTGAGGAGAAAATATATAAGGGTATTTTACATTTGCCCCTTGAAGTTATATTGCTCTTGAATTTTTAATTTTAATAAGTTACTCTCTTAATTTATATAATTTTAATAAGTTATCCTCTTAATTTATAAAATTGTTATAATATATCCTATTTTGACGATGAATGTGCTAAATTAGTGTCAAAAGACACATTTGACAAAAATTCTAACATCTCAATTCGAAATGTAACATAAATCTTTCAATTCATCAACTTTTAATTCCTTAAATTTAATAAAAAAATTTGAGCAAATTTAAAAGATTGATTATAAAGTTAAAAATTTAGGAGGCAATTTGTTAAACCACGATAAATTTAGGGGAGAATTATGCTAAAAACCTAATATATAATTGCAACTGCACGTTCTCAGCAACTAGCTAGTTCCTAGATAATAAAGGGGTTGTTATCTAATGTTACTAGCTAGATAAAACACAATGCGAAAAACACTAATGCTTTAGGGTTATTCACACAATTAGTCCTTGAACATTTAGCATAATGACATTTTAGTCTCTCAAATTTCAATTTTGAAATATTATTCCTCAAATTTTTATTTATATTTTTTACAGTTTTGGTTCATGAAAGTAAAATTGACGAATGATTTTTTGATTTAAACATAGATAATCACATACTTATCGCATAATAATTGAAAATTTTACATAAATAATTATAGTAAGCGTGTAGTTTTAGGTTCTAATAGTAACAATAGAGAGACTTTATATATAACGTAAGTTACGTAACTCATTCTGTAGAATTTTAAATTATCACGCGATAGATATGTGATTATTTTTATTAAATTTCAAAAATCCTTCATTCATTTTACTATCAGGAACCAAAATTGTTATGCTCGATAAAAGAAATGAGGGAAGCTCCAATAGAAAAATTTTATAAGGGGAAAATAAAGTAAAAGTTCAGGGACTAATAGCACCAATTACTTTTTTTTTTTTTAAAGATTTTTATGAGGTATTTTAGTTCTTAGTAACTTTCGTTAGGTCAGATTCCTGTTTTCAAATGGACCTAATGTACAACTAAGTTAATGGTTCGAGGACGATATTGTCAAAAATTAAAAGGATGGTGACCAATTGCAAATTGTCACTTATTAATACATGTAATTTCATTTTCAATCCTCAAACTGTGGGCAGCATCTCCTTTTGATTACCAACATTTAAAGCGTCTGAAATGAGTCCATGATCTATCAACTACTCTCAACTTAGTCATTTTGTCAATCTAATTATTAAAAACTTGACGAAAAAAGCACGTGGCCATATATGGTTTAGTAGGTGTTGGTAAATAAATAATGCATCTTTCTATTGAGATTTTAACAGTAAAATTGATAGGACTAATTTATGCAAATTTATAAGGTCGACGACTCAATCTAGGATGGTTTAAAGATATTAATCAAAATGGGATTAACTAAAATGAGATTGAATCTTGCTAATATATATGTTCAAGGACAAATAACGCCAATAACCAGATTTCTTGTGTTTGGTATGATTACCTTTTCTAACCTCTACACGTTGATAGACACTAAAATTAAGGGGGGGTTTTTTTTAAAGGATTTGAAATCTCCCATTTCTCAATCTTTTTCTACTAAACAATCATGGGTCCTAAAATCCTTCTTCAATTGCCAAACCGTCGTCGTATCTTTCAACGATAGTTTTTAACTAATGATCGTCTCACCTCCTATTTGTAGTAGTGAGAACTTTCATGGCCACTCTTCAATCTTCTACCCATTCTTCTTCAGCTAGCTTAAAAGAAATCAAATGCACTCTCCATTCTCAGAAAGTTCAATCATCTAATCTCTTTGTTCCTAAGATCCTCGTCCATCGACGAAATGAATTGTTGCCAATCTTGAGAACAACTTCCACTGATGTAAACCTCAAGTCCAAGATCAAATTCAAGCCACAAATGATCTTGATCACAAAATTTCTAGCTCAGAAATAGAGCAAGAGTTGTTTGCAATACTAGAAATTGTTGCCGATAGAGTTGAAAGGCACAGAGGTAACTGGAATCACTTCTTACTAAACTCCGTCAATGGAATGACGGTCACTGCTGCAATCATGGCTGCTCTTGGGGCTGCCAATGAAGTTGGTGATGTCCTTTTGGCTCTAAAGCTTTCGTCTACTCTTCTATCCATCGCAGCCACCGGGATTTTGGTGGTGACGAACAGGATTCAACCTTCTCAGCTAGCAGAAGAACAGAGAAATGCTTCGAGACTGTTTAAGCAGCTCTACCAAGAGATCAGAACAACGTTGATTCTGCGAAACCCGAGTTCTAACTTCCTAACGACGTGAGAGACGCAATGCAAGAGGTTTTGGGACAAGGCGTACCCTCTTCCCTTGCTTGGAGTTATGCTTGACAAATTCCCTGCAAATGTAGAGCCTGCCGTGTGGTGGCCACAAGATCAATTCAAGCCTAAACAAGAAATGTTTGGCTTGAGAAAAAGGAAGTTTAATGGGTGGAATGGTAACCTTGAAGAGGAAATGAAAGAGATTGTGGGACTTGTGAGAAGAAAAGATTCAGCAGAATATGTGAGATTTGAGTAACGTGGTTTTGAAAGTCAACAAAGTTCTAGGCATTTCCGGTCCTTTACTAACTGTTTGGCTGCAGTTGGCACTGGTGTTCCGGGGTCCTCAGTTTTCGGTTCGAGGCGTGCAATTTCGAGTGTCGTATGTGGAGCCTTCGTTGCCGCAGTTGACACTCAAGATCGACAAGTTGGAATGGTGTTTGAGATGTATAGAAGCTCTGCGGGGTTTTATAAGCATATGGAAGAGACCATTGAATCGACTTTTGGAGGAAAGAGAAGTTCATAACAGAGAGAATGGGGAACTGTTTTAAGTAAAAAAACGGCGCTTACAGCTCGGAAGGAGCTTGTCGGAACTCAGAAACCTTGCAAGTACTTCGTCTTTATCTTCTAGTGTTGAACTAACCAAAAAGGAATTTGCAAGCAAGCTTTTCTGATCAATCTTTTTAATCAGTTTTCTGTACCTCGTACAGCTTAAGGTTTTAGTTGTCATAGTCCAAAGGACGTACTATGGCAGGATATGTATTTAAATTGGGTTTAGTACCATTTTTGTTCCCTGAATTTCGGGGGTAAATTTCATTTTTAATCCTAACTTCCAACTAGTCCTTAATATACAAAATTGTTCCATTAAAGTCCTTACCGTTGATTGTTTGTTAAAAGTGGACGGAAAATACCATATGAAGATCACGTGTTTGTTAAAACGACTTCAAAAAAGTGTACTCAGTGAATTCTTTTGATTATGTAAATTTTCATTTTATTAACGTTTTGCGTGTTAGGAATTGGTGCTGTTGACTAAACAATTCTAGACAGCAATGAATTGACGTTGCATCAAACATTCAGTAGAAGAATAAAAAAAAGCTATGATCGTTGAGGGGGATAAAAAGAAATACTATCTACTATAATTGAAAACAACGAAAGAAAAAGAATGATTAAGACATGATACGTCCCTCCCTCCAATAATGGCAAACAATATTATTTAACCGTTTAGTTCACTGATTCGAGTTTAAATGTGACTTTATGTGAAAACTTTTTACTGTAGTTAAAAAGTTAGATGTGACTATTTCTGAGAGCATTTTACTGTAGCAAAACTCGAATCGGTAAAGTGAACAGTGAGTATATTTATGTGTAGGGTAAGCTGTGCATTTATGTATAGGGTAAGCTGTGCATTTTCACACGGAGTGTGGTGGCGTAGGTGACTATAATGGTGTACTATGGTGGGCTTGTGATCACAGGTTCAAGCGTTAGGTTACTTCCTTAAGGCATTCAGTGGAGCTAAAGTAGCACACATTACTCCCTTGGGGCATTCAGTGAGTTGGGATAGCGACCTCCTCGTCCGACGGGATCGGGCCAGCCAGTAGGGCCTTCAGTGAATATTCCTAACAGCCCCCAAGGGGTATGCTAACGCTAGTTGCCCCCACTCAGAACTATTATTTATTAAAAGGAAAAAAAAAAAAAAAACTCTGCATTTTCAGGAATATCATGTACAGAACCATGAAGGACGACAAATAGCAGACTTCATTCTGGTCTTACAGATGACGAATTCGGGTATGCTAACGCTAGTTGCCCACACTCTGAACTGTTATTTATTAAAAGGGGGGAAAAAAAACTATGCATTTCAGGAATATCATGTCCAGAACTATGAAGGACGACAAATAGCAGACTTCATTCTGGTCTTACAGATGACGACAAAAGGAGCTGAACAAAACTAGGACTCGTCGTTTTTCATTTTTCTTTTCTTTTCTGCTACAGCAAGGACAATTGGTGGAAACAGACGCTGACCGGGACAAACAAAGAAGATAATGCTATAATCAATACCAAAATATTGGTTAAGGCTATAAAGTATAAAGTATAAGAAAGCATGGCAAACGTGAAAATTCAAACATTCTAAAAGGATTCTCATTTCACAAGCCATACTTCTAGTTTGGTTAATAAAATACATAGTCCAAAATTTTCCAACACAACAGCTCCACGAGTTTTATAGTCGGTAACTATAAACGATAAATATATTGTACATGGTGCGGCAAAAGATTAATACCTCTATAGCCCACGTCATGAAGCTTTTATCAGCAATGAAATGATTAGATTCTGACTTCTATGCCTTTGTTCAACAAATGCTCTTTCACAGACTGAATAGGCACCTGTTATCCATGTCGAGGAGTTTGTAAAGCTAGTGCACAAACCGAGAACAAACAATAGGGTTGAGTAATTCTTGAAATGCTAGAAGAGTAGTACCTCCTTCCGATGGAAAATGCCGGCAGCGAGGGCGGCAGACGCGCTTGTGTTGTTGAATACCTCTGAAAAGTGTTCAACAGCGCCGGCACCGCTGCTAGCGATCACAGGGATGCTCACAGCATCTGATATTAACTTTACTAATTCTATATCGAATCCATTTCCTTGCCCTGAAAAAGAGAAGATACGACCATAAAAACTAAAATATATATACATAAGGGACTGTGAATCGTTTTCAAGTTCTACTAGGTTGAAAGGTTCTAATCATTAGTCTCAAATAATAACTTTAATAGTTATTTGATTCGCAACATGTAACAGAAACGTCTGAAGGACGAAGGAAGGCATCTTGACCATCGCAATCAATGCAGTTTAGCAGTATTTCTCCAGCTCCAAGCTCCTCCACTGCTTGTGCAAGCTCATAAGCTCCAATTGGTCGACCTTCTCGCCCACCACTTACCTTAAGAGCAAAATATACAATTTTTGAATTTTTTTTTTTATATAAATGTATAAGAAAAAGGGGTCAATTTTTTATTGGCAGCAAAATAACTCAAAGAAACTCTTGTGATGTGTGATACATCTACGAGGATATGGAATACTTTTACATAGGTGAAGGCGGCAAAGAACACTTACTGTACACTGGTACCATGCGAATTCTTCACCATTTGGACCTGATATCAATGTCGAAAAAATGATTTTTAAGTCGACTAGTAAGAGCTAAATATTAAGCAAATTCTAAAACCATATATCATCCCCTTTTCCTTCTCAATTCCTTCACGACCCTTTTTCTCTGTCTTTCTCATCATTAACTAACCAGAAAATAGCATCGTAGTGCATCTAAGATTTTTATTTAGTCCATTTACCTAGGTTCTTTACTCTTACAGTCTTGAACTCCACATCATTGGGCTCTTTAACGTACACTCTGCGAGGGTCAATGCTCACAACCACTGCCTGCGATATTACATAAATCAAACGCAGGATACAAAAACCCAAGCTCAGTTAAAGCTCAAATAACAAACAGAAAAGTACTAAGAGGAAAAGTTTGAACCAAAATGAAATTCAAATTTCAATGTTGAACTAGAGGTGCATGACAAAGTTTAAGCATGATACAACGTTATATGTATCCAATACATTACATATTTCAGTCCAAACAAAGTTTGTTGAGATATGCCTTTCTATTAATGCCTAAAATAGCATGGACTCACCCATATCTATTAGAAAGTAAATCAGTACCTGATTTCCATAAACTTTAGAAATCTGCTCTAAACTGCTCTTTCCAGTTTTTACCTAAAAAGGGAGCAATATAAGAAGGGATAGAAACATACAAAGTCCAAACCCAGACAAACAGAAATGCAAGATAATATAAAAAGTTTTTGCATACTCCAGTTCTTAAATACTCCTCTGCAGCATAAACAGCATCACTTCCGATGGAAATCTTATCAGCTCCAGATCTAAAGTATTCTGAAGCAACTTCCAAGCTAGAATGGTGCCTGTAAGAAGAACAATTGATATCATATTTGTCTGTGTAAGTTTTCAATAAGAATTTGCTTTCCAAAACAATTACTGTGACATCAAATACTGAACTGAAAGATAGTAACTTATGAGCCTACCTCCCATTTACGTCTGTAAAATCTCTAATTCCTCCTCCAACTGTTAGTGGGACAAAAACATTTTCTGATGTGTATCTCAATACCTAAAACAACATTGCAAGTAACGGATTATTTTGAAGAGGAAAAAAAAAAAAGATTAAAAAAAAAAAAATTAACTGCAATGTTGGGTTTGAAATTGAAAAAACTTTCTGCTTCCATGATCTAAAATAAAGCGATTCATGTCAGCAAAGTTACAAGTGCTACCTGCAACATTGGCAAGTCGCCCAATGGGAAGTCGCGGAAACCAGTAATATTCAGGAAAGTGACCTGCAATAAAGAATTATCATGTAGAGCTTGCCTCAGTAAATATATGGAATCGATGAGGAATGTCCAGAACTAAGAAAGCATACCTCATCAGCGCCATCTTTGTAATATTGTCCAGCAAGCTCAACCGGCTTGCCCAGGTTTCTCACCTACACCCAAAGTGGAGTCATACTGTATCAAAATAAACCGAATCACAACACAAAAAATTTCAAATAGGGGATGTGACATGGATTAAGAGGGAAGGACTATATCTATAATAATCATATTCAACTCCTTGTGCTTAATAATTATGATGCATGGCTAATGATTCCCAGGAATTTCGCACTCATTACACTTTAAACAGGAAATCACGTCCTAAAAGCCATAGAAACCATATAGTGACAGCTGAGAATTACTAGATTACCTCATTCTCTTTTGTATGCTCTCTCACATCATATTGGTCTCCTTTGGTGACAACAAGATCTCCTTTGTCATTCGTCCTCACATCCAGACAAGCAATTACCTTCAGAGAAGTAATACAATAAGTTAGAAAACCAGCAATCAACGACTTAATGGATAAAATACAATATGGGCCTAAGAGCATAAAACTCAATAAAAATACCATGCAAAGAATCATGATATGGTTCGATAAATATTACCCTTTTTGCAAGTTTCGAAGCCTTTCCTTCAGGAAGCTTCTGTCTTGGCATTAACATCCTAGATTGTTAGATGATCGAACAAAGAAGTCAACATATGGAAAGCTCACACTGAGGAACGGAGGCTACCTTTGCCATGGGTGACTTTGGTTTCAAAAATCGTCTTAATACAGAAAGACCAACATCTGAAACAATAAAATTCAAGGTATTTGATATCAATAAGTGAAAAAAAAAAAAAAAAAAAGGCTAGGAAAAGGAACATTTGTCCGTCCTTTTCAATCTAAAAGAGAATTTACTTTCCCTTCTTAATCCTGGACTTCACTAAAATCTTAAAATTTTTGGAACTACAATGTTAAAATAATAACTAAAAAACTAGGAGCGAAAAGAAAAATATATATATATTAAAAAAATAAAAAAATCTTACCTCCACTCTTTTCTGGATGGAATTGTACTGCATGCACATTTCCCCTTCTAACAGATGCTATGAAATTGTCGCCATAGTTGCAGGTCGATGATATCCAATCTTTGTTTTTATCTGACTAACAAAAATGTAAATTCGTCTCAGTCCTGGTTTAAGGAAACCAGACTCTTTTCTGCTTCTATTGATTCGAGAAAATATAAAACAAGGGAAAGAAACGTACAGGCATGGCTCTGTAAGAGTGAACAAAATAGACGTGGTAGTCTCCAACATCATTCAATATTTCAGAGTCTTTCCTTATCTGCAGAGCGTTCCATCCAATATGGGGAACTCTGAAACCATTTGATGAATCGAAACGCTGAACCACACCCGGAATCAAGCCGAGACCATTTACTGCAAGATTTTACATCTTTTAAAAGATGTTTAAAGATATACGTATGTGTTGATATGCGAGGAAATAAGAGCATTTCTTTTCTTTCAATCTTGATGGCATTACCACCCATTATAGTCTCTTTGTATAGCCTTCTCTTCTATCACTTTCACTTATAAGTCGATCTCTTTTCTTTCCAAACTATATTATTGCTATTAGTTGAATAAACAACTGAGAGCTGATATTTCGTTTAACAAACAAAGCAGTTTTGGAAAGAATATGGCATGTCATTAATACATATAAACTATAACAAACTACAAATTTGAATTAACATAATAAAGGTCAAGGCCAGTGGGGTAAGTAAGCCACTTCCACAGTCCTTCAGGAAGAACGAGTAGTATAATTTGGCTAATATAAACTTGTCCAAAAAAAAAAAAAAATTAATTAACAGGTTCTGCAAATAATATGACGTCTTGTTCGCTGTAAATTATTGAGTACTTGTTGGACGTAGTGAAAGATTTTGCCTTTTATGAATCTGTAAATAACCAAAAAAAAAAAAAAGGCAGAATGGAAAACAACGCCATATAGAAAGTACCTTCATGGATTTATAAACAAAAAATTTTGGAAAACATAAATACACCAAAACACTGACCTGGTCCGTTCTCCTCACTGGACTCGAAAAGTAGCTGAAGTCCAAGGCATATGCCTAGGAATGGCCTATCTTTCTCAATATAAGCACAGAGTGCTTCAACCAATCTACAAAAAAGTAGCAACAAAATATCACTTCTGTTCAACTAAACAAGCAACTGATTTTAATAAAAATTAAAATCATACACATAACGAAAAAAACTTGCCCTTTCTTGGTCAGCACATCCATGGCCGCAGCAAAAGCCCCCACCCCAGGAAATATCAGTCTATTTGCGTTCACTATGTCTTCTGGAGTTTGTACCTGCATTTCATACATAAAATCAAATCAAGAAGACGTAATAAATCTTCTCTTCCTGTCTAACTAATTTCTTCAGTAAAACAAAACGAATATATAGACCAATCACTTTAAAGAAAAGCACTAATGTGTAAACAAAAATTCACAGTAAGGCAACAAACAATACAGAAATTAGTTTGCCAGAACTTGTTGGCTGTATTTATTATTATTGACTTTTTTTTTTGTAAAACAGAATAATGCATGGACACGAATGGCCTATTTGGCATGGCTTCCTGAAAGTTGTTTTTAACTTCCAGAGACCAAAAAATTGTTCTGAAAGTGTTTGGAATTTGTATGATAGAAGAGATTTGCCTCTTCAGAAGACTTTCCAACCAAAGCTACAAAATATGAGTTAGCAAAAATGCTCTTCTGAATTCCTTTCAAAAAAAAAAAAAAAAAAAACACTTCTGAATAATTTTTGAAACTCGTACTTTAAGCAGACATTATAAACATTTATCATTTTTATTGACTATTAAAAATTTAAGAATCAATTTCACCCATTAATCTTTTTCTTTTCCCTGAAAAAATGGGATTCCAAACACTTAAATACAAGCCATAACTTCTACTTATCTTCTAATCATTAAAAGCAAAAGTAAAATACTCTACTAAACAGGTTCAAAACGGGGGGCTAATTTTCCTCTTCACGTATAAATGTTTTTCAAATGAGCTAAATAAAAAGAATAAAGCTGAATTTATTTATTTCTCAGAGATTGTAGCTGAATACGAGTATGAGCATGATTAATGGAGGTTATAATCTGAAATTAAGCAATCTTAGAAATTCGAATACAAAATCAAAAAAAGAAGAGAAAGATTACATCTTTGATGTCGAAGCCGAGGTAGCGAATTGCATTGCGGAGACTACGGACATTTCCAGCGCCGTAGTCAAGAAGAGTCACAACTGAATTTCCACCCAAAAAAAATGTAGTAAGAGAAAATTCAATAGCTGAGAACAATCCAAACACGGAGAGAGAGAGAGAGAGAGAAAGTACCGGAATCGCCATTAGAGGAGGCGCGGACTGATAAATTTCTGGGGGATTTGAGGTTGAGGCGATTTCTTCTGAGATTAGCACGTAGAAATAGAAGAGAAGAAGAGGACGAGGATCGAAATGCGAGGGATTGCGATGAAGAAAACGAAAATGGCGGCGCCTCCATTGCAGGAGCTTCAAGTTCGTCCTTGCTTGTGCTGTAAACTGCAATGCTGACTAGTGAAATGCAATTTTAAGTTTTTTTTTTCCTTGAAAAAAAAAGTTTTAAGTTTTGTTTTTTTAAGTTAAATTAACTTTTTTCTCTTTCTACAATTAAGCCATATAGTTAATTATTTTTATGAACAGTCTCTAAACTCTAAAAATATTTCATAAATTATTTAGCTATTAAATTTTAGATAGAAATCTTTGTTAAGACTTGAATTCATACCAGGCTTATTAAAGGCCCAAACCTAATCATTTGCGTCCCACAACATTATTAGGCTCATTTTGTGAACTCAAGTCATGCTCAGAAAACTCCCGTAGGTTATGGTGTGGTGGGTCATGAGTGATCATATAAGCTCATTTGCCCTAATTTGACCCAATTTAAAACCCACTTAGGGTTTTTTCAGAATTAGTCAAAGTAGGCATGAATGGGTGATGAAGGATTTAACCCAAGAAAGTATTCCCTTTGTCTTTGAAAGCCCAAAATCCTTTATTTCAGCCATTGAAGGCCCAAAATCTAAGCCTGAACCTTAAAAACATTTTCTTCAACTCAAAGGCCTGAGAAATCTATTAGTCTTGGCTCATTCAGAGGCTTTTCTCGCGACCAAACATGCCTCTCGGAGCACTCCTCGTGTCAGACATGCTTTCTCAGCTCTTCTTCGTATAAGGTTGTCCATTCAGAGTAACCTGGTGTCGGAGCAATATGTTGTCAGAGCAAGTATAATGACTACTTGGTCATTATCATACAAACAATCTGCGACGAAAGTCTAACATGAACAGACCCCCAAAAAGAAAAGTGATCGGAGTACTTAGTTGAGTCAAACACTATTAGAGATTTCAAGTCTGAAGTCACTTTGTGTCAGCCCAAAATATGAAACTTGGCATTCAAGTATTTCCAATCGTAAGGTGTCATTTTGCCGCCGGAGTAAATTTCCAGAAACTTTTCATCCCATTTTCGGCGAGTCTCTTTGTCAAAATCGAAAAGCTATCTGACACCTTTCCTATGAATGGGATTGCTCTAACAGCCCACCGTTGTTTCTTCCATTCCATAATCTTTCATTCTATTTCTAGACCATCTCTTTGTAAAACTAAGAAGAGCCCCTGATATCCTTCCTCTAAATAGAAATGAGTGTTCAGACCTCCGTCAGAGCAGCTGTCAAGCACTCTCATTTACTCCTATAAATACCCCCTCACCTTCTTCATTTCAACACCAACGCACCTGCACATAAGAAAACACATCAGAGTGTTGAAACTCTCCATTTGAGTGCTTTCTTCAAGTCTTTTGCTACAGAGACTTAGAGTCTTCTTCAAGTTCTTAAGGAACCTTATAATTTCTAAGTGTTGACCTCCTTAGAAATTCTTTAAGAGCATTTTTCAATCATCTTTCAACACCACCTGAGAATGTTCTGAGAGTTATCTTCATACTTTCCTAAAAGTATTCAAGCTTCCAACCTCAGAGTCACTCTCGTCTAGGATGCTTGATTGGCTTGATGAAACCAGCCTCTGTGCTGAATGTTGAGAGAATGACATACCAACCCCGTGTCTAGCCCGGGCATGTCTTCGCAGCTCCAAGCGAAGATGTCGATATGTTGACGAAGCAAGTCAATGAGCAGAGCGCGCTCTTCGTAGGAGAGCTCGGCACTGACGAAGACCACCTTATGGACGGAGGGATCATCATTGAGGTCCACTTCTTCAAGTTGCTCTAACATGGCTTCGGAACCATCTTGCATATGATTTGGAGCGGGCTGCGGATCAACTATCTTTGCGGACTCCTCGGAGGAAGTCATTTCAGAGGCAAGTGCTCTAGAGCTGACGTATGCAACTTGTTCTTCATTGTCCCTGGGACCCTCCCACTTCAAGTGATAATGCTCCCAACATCGTCATAAATGGTAGACAATCCTTCCATCAGGAAGAGGAACTTTCACACAACGAGGGGACTTCTTCTTTTCCTTCTTCAGAAACAAGCATCAATCTTTACCGTCGAGGTCCTTGATTTCTGGCCACAGAGGCAAAGGAATACCAATTGGCTTGGAGATTTTACTTTCTCCAGGATAGGAGAAGTTGTCATAGAACTTGGCATCAGTGTAATGCACCTCAATTTGGTCAAACGGAGTTTGATTGGCCTGAATACGAACAACTTTGGAGCCAATTCTCCCTTTGACGAATTGGTGGTATGTGGAGCATATGATCTTATACTTATTTAACCATGGTCTCCTAAAGAGAAGATGATAATTCACATCAATATCAAGAACATGAAAACGAGTGAGGGAGTGAATAAGACCCACCTTTAAATCAAGCATGATGAAACTGGACGACACTTATGTTTTGTTACCAAATCTTGCGTTGAAGGTCTCCTTCTTGATAATGCGACTTGGAGGAATTTCGATGACGGTCAGTACTGCTAAAGGAATGATGCTGATAGAAGAACCTGTGTCCACCAATGCTCTTCGAACATACACATTGTTGATGGTTGCTCTAAGTAGAGGGGTCGCCGATGGTCTGGATATGAAGCCTAGATATCTTCATCAGTGAAGGGAATAGAGTTGGTGCTTTTGAAGAATGCTCTGGTGGCAAAGGCTTCGTTGGAGTAGCAATGCGGTCCTTGCTCCACAGAGAAAGCCTTTGTGGCAGCCAAACGAGCTTGCGAATCAAGACCAAGCTGGTCAAATAATGACTTAAACTTCGGGCTTCGATGAAGCGCATAAACCATTCATGTTGTCGGAGCAGGAATCATCTCATGATCTTCATCTCTGGGATGGAAAACTACGGCAATAGATTCACAATCTAGGAAGCTATCTCTAAAGGATTGATCGGCTAATGGACTAGGACTGTTTGTCGAAGCAGCACGTGCATCAAAGAGATAATACCTTGGGTCTGGGAACGTGGCCACGACTTCATCGATGATGAGGAAATCATCATGTTCAAAAGGATCTTCGGGAAAATATAAATCAGGAATCTCGGCTGGATGAGATTCCTCAATGGTCATAGGCGTCAAGATAGTTTGCTCTGAAGCGATAGGTTGTCGGAGGGATGAGCTTGGAGAGAACAACAATAAAGACAAGTTTAGAGGAGATTCTCTGTCAGGCGACACTTCTGGAGAGGAGCTTATGACTATCACTTCCGGCTTCAGTTAAGGGTAGGTGAGATGGCGCTTTGTAGCAAGTCTCCCTTCTTTGGTAGCCAAATCCCATCGAAGCATGTAGGCGGAGGGCCCTACAGGTGGCTCGGGAACTTTTCTCACAATGTTGTTGAGGGTTAGCTAGAGCTCTTCCTTGTATTCGAGCTTTCTCTTAATGGGAGGTGTTTGCATGGAGGTTCCTTTTTCTTCTAGGTCATCTTCCCATCCATCGGAGGCAGCATGGGCATACCGGGATGAAGTGGCACAGTGTAGGTCCTCCAAAAGGCCTTTTCACAGTTGCCAGAGGACTCCCAAATTGCTTCTGGAGGCTTTGAATCACAAAGCCACGTTCGAATCTCCTCATTGAAGTCACTGTCTTTCGTCTCATCGGAGCAGCTGGAAATCATGGCACAAGAATCCTTTCCTTTGTGAGGTGGAAGAGGATCAGAGTCGATGCTTTGAATTTTTCCAGAAAGCTCAATCATGCCTTCTTTGATTTTTATATGAATGGTCCTCCGAACAGCGTTGCACATGGACGTAAGGTGACTCACGTACTGATGGTAGAGGCAGTACCTTGGGTGCTTCTTGTCAAATTAGGAAGGCGACCTTCTTGGGACGAAAGGGAGGATGACTTTATCACTGAGCAGTTGTTCCAACACAACATGCAATTCTTCATCAGAACAAGGCAATGGAGGTAGTAAAGCTTTCAACGATGGAGTAGACTGCTTCTTTGACAAAAGTGGTCTGGAAGGCTTGTCAGAGATAGCAAAAGTTTACAGAGCAAAAGCTTTCTTCTCCCTCCAACTCCATTGAGAATCAGAAACTCGAACGGAGAGAGCAATCTTTCGAGCAGACTTAAGGAGGCAAGAGAATTTGCAAATGCCTATGTTCTCCAAATGGACACAATAATCCAGAATGATGTTGTTGAAACGAATGTCAACAAGAGCTCCTTTGTAATTCTCGTCGTAGCAATCAAGAGCAAGGTCACAAAATCTCCGAACGAAATTCAAGAGATCTTCTCCACGCCTCTGATGAGTATTGTTGAGTTGGATGATGGTGACTTTCTCTTCATTTTGGAAGTATTTCCTACAAAATTGAGTAACCATTTCTTCCCAAGTCATTACGGAGCCAGGAGCTAAAGTGGTGTACCACGTATACGCTTTGTCCGTGACAGGCTTGGAGAATTCTCAGAGGCGAAGGTCGCGATCTCTGACATACTTACCAAATGCGTCAAGGAAGTGGCTGATATGCTCCTTTGAGTTGCCTTTGTGGCCATCGAAGAGCATGAAAGATGGAGTCTCATACTTCAGAGGGTATGGCTTTTGGTACAGCTCTGAAGGATAAGGAGGCTGAGGCAAGTACTTGGCATCCTCTGGAGTGATTCCACGAGTGTGTTGCTCTAAAATAGCCAGGACATCATCACGAGTGAGAGGTTCGTCGGAGGCTTGCTCCGAAGGCTTAGGTGCTCTGGCAGCAAAAGCCTGTGGAGTCACATCATTGGCGGGCCCCATAGCAGGTTCGAGCTAAAAATGATCTGAGTAAGTTTACTCTGGAGAGGAGCTCATTGTGTGTAATGACATAGAAAATCCCAGAATTAAATAATATAATTTATGCATTCAAGTCGAGGATTTTTCTGCAGAAAATCGTGTTATATTTTGTGACTGAATGATTTATGGAATTAATATCAGTATTCCTAAATTATGTAGCAAATTTTACGTTAAGTTCATGTTTTATGAGCAAGTAAATTCGGTCGATAAATTTTCGCCGTGATTTAAGGCAGAAGAATTTTTAGCTCGTATACAATTTGAGAATCTTAATTTCAAGAATCTCCAAGTACAGTACGATGTTAGCAGCGTACCGAGAAATACTCTGACATTCAAAGAGAAATCCTTAATTGCCGAACTGATAAGTTGAAGTC